GTCTTCAGTCTTAGACTGAATGTAACTTGGTCTTGATAGATTGTATTTTATTAATGTTACCACTATGTATGATTTACTAATATTTTGTTTAGGATTTTTTGAGACTATGTTTATGAGAAAGATTAGCCTGTCGTGTTTTTTTCTTAAAATGTTCTTAATCAAGTTTTTGTTTTGCAATTCTCCATGTAAGTATAAGATTGATGTTAATTTTTTTTAAGATTTTGTTTTTTTTTAAGTAATCTCTGTACCCAACGTGGGGCTCAAAATGACAACCCTGAGATTAAGAGTGCTCTCCCCACTGAACCAGCCAGGCGCCCTCCCCCCTCCAATTTTTTTCATTATATGTTTGGAAGAATTTACTGTTGGAGTCACATGGGCATGTAGTTTCCTTTGTAGAAAAGTTTTAAATAATGTATTCACTTTCTTTCATGTGTATTTGTGTTTTCAGATTTTCTCTTTGTCAGTTTTAATAAGTTGTGTTTTTCTTGAAATGTATCCATTTCATGTCCTTTTCAAATGTATAGGGCCACGGTTGTTAATAATCTCGTTTTAATTTGTGTAAAATCTGTAGTATTATCCTCCTTTTCATTCTTACTATTAGGATTTGTGCCTTCTTTGATTTTTCAGTCTTGCTAAAGCCTATCATTTATTTTAATATTTTTTCAAATAGGCAACTTCTTTGATTTTTTTTTCCTGAACATTTGTTTTCTATTTTTTAAAAAAATTTTGTTCCAGTTTTTACTATTCTACTTTGGGGGTTAATTTTTTTCTATCTCCTGTTTCTTGGTAGGAATACTTAATAAGGATATTTGCTTGCCTGATTTGTTGGTTACTGTGGGGGTTTTGTTAAAATCCACTGCGGTTGTAGATTTGTCAGTTTTTCTTTTTGGTTCATCAGTTTTATATATTTTGGGGCTGTCTTATTTTATATATGCCAGTTTAGAATTCCTATGACTTTTTTTTTTTAAAGATTTTATTTTTCAACAGAGAGAGAGCGAGCGAGAGAGGGAACACAAGCAGGGAGAGTGGGAGAGGGAGAAGCAGGCTCCCTGCCGAGCAGGGGGCCCGATGCGGGGCTCGATCCCAGGACCCTGGGATCATGACCTGAGCCTAAGGCAGATGCTTAACAACTGAGCCACCCAGGTGCCCCTAGAATTCCTATGACTTTTAGTGGACTATCATATTTATTATTATAAAAAGACCCTCTAGCTTGAGCGATTATTGTTTGCCTGAGATCTCCTTTGTCAGATATGGGATGACTTCACAAGTTTCCTTTTGGTTAGTGTTTGCGTGGTTTTTACCCTTTTACTGTAGCTATTCTGTGCCCTTATCTTCTAAGGCATCTCTCATAAGCAGTAAACTCTACTCTCATAATCTGCTGCCTGAAGAATTCCCTGTGGTGTCTCTTTTGGTGTGGGCCTGTTGGTGACAAACCTTGTGTGTGTGTGTGTGTGTGTGTGTGTGTGTGTGTAAAAAGTCTTCATTTCACCATCATTTTCGAAGGATAGGTTTGCTTAGTTTAAAATTCTAGATGGGTAATTACTTTCTTTTCCTAGTTGAGAGCTGTCATCCACTTTCTGTTGAGAAGTCAGCTGTCAGTCTTACTCTTTGAGCCGGTGGTCTTGGTATGGTTTTCTTTGTGTTTACCCTGTTTTATATTTAACCTTCAGGAGTCCCAAACAAAAGCCTGTGGTGTTCCTCTTTGGCAAGCCCTGAGCTCCAATTTTTTTCCCATTTCTGTGAGACTGTTTAGAAACTTTTGTCTTGACGTTGTCATACATTCTGACTGTCTTAGCTGTTCCGCATTGTCCTCAAACTAGCTGTCTTATGTTTTTTTATCTAGGGTTTCGTGAAAGAATTGGTCTGATAATAAGCTCTTCCATTAGAGCTGGCAGTGAAAGTCCACATAATTGCCTTTTTTTTAAGGTGAGCAGTATTACAGTGTTACTATAGCTGATGGAAATGGTTCTTGAAGGAGGGATACTGTTGACGATGCCAGCCAGGAAAGGGGTAATTGCTAGAGTGGTGGCCCTGAAGAGAGAAGAAGGGGTGGAATTTAGTGCATGAGTTGGTTTTGGTCATGAGTTAGTTCACCTGAAGTAACAGGAGGGAGGGCAGAGTGTAAGAGTTTAAACCTGGTGGGTAGGTAGATTTGGTGGTGGGTATTGGTGAAATTTTTCTTCTGAATGCATCTGTTTTCTTAGTTGGTGTCAGGTTTGGGCAGGAGGTGTGAGGCTTACGGAGAGAGAGGAGTTAGGAAATGGTCTGTAGATGAGTGTGAGGGTGAACGGAGCAGGGAGATACCGTAGGATTGCCTGGTAGCACAAAGGCTCGCTCTGCTGAAGTGAGTGGGCATGGACGTGGGGGATTTAAAAAGTAAAAAAAACATGCCAGACCTCAAATAAAACTGTGATTTTATCAAATCAGAAATTTATAATCTGGAGGGACAGAGGCGAAACTGTACTTTTAGGTTCTGAATGTTCAAGATTGTGCGGTATGTTTCTAAAGTAAAAACAAAAAGGGTATTAAAATTTTTTAAGTGTAGTCTCAAGGTCACAAATGTTTAACATTCCATGGAGAAAGGTAATTATTTCTAAATTATTTCTAAAATTTATTTATAAATTATTTCTAAAATAAACCATGAATCTCATGTTCCCATGAAGTCCCACCTAGTTGTGTGGGTTAGGGCCAGACCATGTCTTCCACCTCTGCTGGGACTGGTGTGTGTGAATGGGCTGCACGTGTCCAGAGCAAACCCTGATTCCCTGAGCTCCCGGCATGGCTTCCGACACCTAGTCTCTCTAGCCGGGGTGTGGATTTCAAAGCGTGGAGTGGATGTTGGTGAAAGCCCCCTTTGGAGCATTGGTTGATGCATTAGAGGGCACGCTTATGGTGTAGCCCACACTGAGGTTGGAGGACGTGATGGATCCATGGTGCAGTTACCTGGGGCTCCTTCAGGACCACCTCATGCAGAGTTCCTGTGTGTCCCATCTGCTTTCTCCTCTTTGTTGCTTTGACTCCCCTTTCATCTTTTCCCTCCCCAATAAGGCACTGCGTTTAGCTACTTTTATGAACCAGTATGTATACTAAGCAACATTTTATATTCTCAATTTAAATTATATTCTCAGGGTTGAACAGTTTTTTCTTTTAACAAATATATCCAAGTGACTTAGAATTTTTTGGCCCTAAAAATATTTTTCATGGAAAAAACTAATTATGAAGACATATATCAGGTATTCAAAAATGTTTAAAGACTAATATATTGAGGGCGCCTGGGTGGCTCAGTCGTTAAGCGTCTGCCTTCAGCTCAGGTCATGATCCCACGGTCCTGGGATCGAGTCCCACATCGGGCTTCCTGCTCGGTAGGAAGTCTGCTTCTCCCTCTCCCACTGCCCCTGCTTGTGTTCCCTCTCTCGCTGTGTCTCTCTCTGTCAAATAAATAAAATCTTTAAAAAAAAATAAATAAATAAAGACTAATATATTGAGTACCCATCACCTAACTTAAGCAGCACAGTGTTACAAATAAGATTGACATTCTCTGTGACCATTGCCAATCACATCTCCCTTTCCACAGAGGTCACCACCAGTTGAATTTGGTATTTATCATTTCCATGCATATTTTAAATCCCTAAATAGCTTTCTTTTACTATTTATTTATTTATTTACTTGGTAAGCTATATGCCCAGTGTGGGGCTTGAACTCACAACCCTGAGATCAAAAGTCACATGCTCCACTGACTGCTGACCCCCTAAATAGCATTCTTTTAAAAAAACGTTGTGTAAGTGGTTATTATCCTGTGTATGTTTCTGTAAATATAATAATATATTGTTATTAAATATTAAATTCATATTCATGTATTTTAAGGTATAATAAATATGCATAATTATATGTTCTTCAACATTTAGATTTTTCCGTATTTATACTTTAATTCCTTCATTTTCATGCTGAACATGTAATATTCTGTTGTATAAATATATCTTAATTTTATTAAAATTCTTCTGATGGACATTTAGGTTATTTCTGATTTTTTTTGCAACTTTATATATGTTACATTGAATGCTACTCTACATATTCCTTGGGCATCTGTTTGAGATTTTCTAGGGAATGTATAAAGAACTGATGGACTGTAGGGTATGTGCTCTGTCAGTTGCAGTTCTCAACTCCCTCAGGAGTGTGTGGGCTCGGGGTGTCCCAGCCTTGCCTGGCACTTGATATTACGTCTAGTCCCAGTTACTTTATGATGGACTCATAACAGAGTAAGCAGCTGAGTGTGTATCTTCTATGCTGTAGTTTTACTTTGTATTTGTTCAGAAATGGGAGCCTTTTCTCATACAGTTTTATTTTATTAAAAAGAATGCCTTTGTTGAGCCACAGAGTGAGTGATCCCTTAAGAATTTCTTTTCTCTGCTCCAAATCTATGATTCTGTGATAAACTCATATTTGTGAAATTGTCAGTTTGTTCAGATGTTAAATCTGCAGCCCCCTACGGCGGGCATCCATGGAGTCAGACTGATTGTCAGTGATTTGCCCTTCCCACTGGGTTGACGTTTGCACTGCTTGGCCAAAGTGGTGCTGGTCAGAGTGCCATCATCTCTGGAGGAGCCAAGGACGTGGCATCAGTCTGTAGTCCTTTATGTTAATAGGAATGGATTCGTTTGTATTATTAAATTAACAAATATTTAAAAATTTAATAGTTTTAGTTTTTAATAGAGTAATACTGGTAGATATAATCTAAAGTAAGTCTCTTCCTCTAAGAGTGTAAAGGGGTCCTGAGACACCACAGTTTGAGAACCACTCCTTTAGGCACATGGTAGCCGTACAAGCAGATGTTTTATTCTTCCTCATGCTGGTCTTTGAGAAGGAAAACTTAAGTAATATTCCTTTAATGGATAAATTCAGTTGATATTCAAGTTACATATGAATCTTAAATAAATTTTCAATTCATTGCCTTAAAATCTTGTTTATAACTAGATTATATTTGTAAATAAAATGCTTTGCAGGTGCTGACCTTAAGGAGAGAGTCAAAATGAATCCCAGTGAAGTTGGTCCTTTTGTCTCCAAAATAAGAGCAGTGATTAATGAAATCGGTAAGCTCAATTAAACTCCTTTTAGCATGCTGAAGATGACCTTAAATGTCAGATTTAGAAAGTTGTACACTGTCCTTATATATAAGCTTTGGCTAAAGTACTTATGTAATTAGATAATCATGATCTGTAACTGGTTGCTGTGGAGAGAAATGTGATATATTGAATTTGAAAAATTGTGAAAAATATATTTAAAGATGCCTCCTATATGTGATGACATGGCATATGAAGGTAGCTATTAGCAAACAAAGAGAATATCTCCCTGATAATTGCATAGACATATATTTATAGATTTGGTGTTGTTTTGTTGTTTGTATAAATAGGATCATACTATTTCCTTAGAATTATAGACTTCTGGGTAATATTTATGTCTCAGTACATACCAACTTACTTTATTATTAATACTTTTTAATATATTGCGGTGTAGTGATCCAAGCATTTGTCTCATCCAAAATTTTAAATTGCTTCATTAATGTGTAGAGATTTTTTTTCCATTTTTGTTATTTATAATAAAGCAATGAGTATCTTTGTATCAAGTCTTTCAGAGCATTAGTATGTGTACTTATAGGATAGATTCTGAACATGGAGTTGCAGTTCTAGGTATCACGTGTTCATTTTACATTTTAATTATTTTTACCAGATTATATTCCAAGAAGATTGTAATAATTTACATTCCCATCAATTATGTGACAATACTTGTTTCCTCATGTTTTTGCCAGCATTTAATGTTGCTGCTTTTCAAATTTGCCAAGGTTAAAAAAAGAAAAAAGACATCTTAGCATTTTATTTTAATTAATTTTTTGACATCCTTGCATTTTAATTTGCTTTTCCCCAGATGCTTGTGTGATGTTTTATCTTTTCACGTTAGACTGCATCTCCCCTTCTGCACACTGCATTTTCACATCCTTCCTCCTCTTCTCTGTAGCGTTATTTAATGAACAACTGGTTACTTATTTAAGAGCCACTTTGTAGTGGTCTTTCGTTGTTACAGGTATTACAGATACTGTCTCTCAATGTGCTACCCTAATTCAATTCGAGTATATAAATTGAAAACCTTTACTATCTTGAGGGTATGAAATTCCCTTCATTATTCTTTTTCTTTTCTCCTTGAAGATTTTCTTTGGTAATTCCCACACATCAGTTCTTACCAAATGAATTTGGAATTATTAGTTTTTAAAGCAAGGAAGAAAAATACTGTCACGGGACTGTGATTGGAATTTCTCTCAATCTTATTTAGAAAGAATTGACATTTTTGTGATATTGAATCTTTCCATCTGTGATGTGTATGGGTTTCATTCCGTGTGCGTGTGTGTGGGGGGGTGTCATCCCTTTTTTTAATGTCCTTCAAGAAAGTTTTCTTCACATTTGCCTTGCTTGGTCTTCCATCTTTTTTTCCAGTTCAGATTTATACTTGCTATTTTATAGCATTTATTCCTTTGAATGGGATCTTTTTCTCCTATTTCTGTTGAAGTCTGATTATTGTAGTTCTGTGGGAAAGTTACTAAGTTTTAAGTGCTTATTTTATATAACACCAACTTGATAATTACTTTTATTAGCTGTTGTTATTTCTCAGTTAATTTTCTTGTGTTTTCCAGATGAAAGTTCATTATCTATAAATAATGCTATTTTTATTTTTGCTTTTCCCAGCATTTTAATCTCACATATTTTTCATGTTTTATATTGGCTAAGGCCTTTGGTACAATATTCAGTTGTTGGGGTGTGTTCATCCCTATCTTCCTTATCTTTATTTGATTTTGATGAATGCATTTAATATTTTGCCAGTAATTAGCAAGTTCAGGGAGTTTTCTTCTGTTTCACCTTGTTAGGAATTTGTTACTGTTTTTTAATCAGGAATACGTGTTAAAGTTTCTCAAATGCTTTTTTGATGTATGTTAGTATTTATGCAGTTGACCCTTGAACAATGTGGGGCTTAGGGCTGCTGACCCCAACACGGTCGAAAATCTGTGTATTACTTTTGACTCCTCCAAGACTTAACTACAGAAGCCTACTTTTGACCAGAAGCCTTACTGATAACCGAAACAGTTGAATAACACATATCTTATATGTTATATGTATTATATAGTATATTCTTATAATAAAGTAGTAATATTTTAATAATATTTCTGATATTAATATAATAATATTCTTAGAATAAAGTAAGCTAGAGAAAATAAAATGTTATTAAAGAAATCATAAGGAAGAGAAAATGCATTTACAGTACTGTTCTATATTTATTGAAAAAAGCTCCATATAAATGGACCTGCACAAGTCAAACCTGTGTTGTTCAAGGGTCGGCTGTAACTGGTATATACCCTTTAGTATGCTAAATTGTATTAATAGAGCTATTAATGCTGTGCTGGCTTTGTGTTACTAAAATAAACCCTACCTGTTCATTGTGGTTAGTGGTTATAGTGGTTTTTAATATAAACTGCTGGATTCAATTTTTATATGTTTTGCTATAATCATAAATGAGATTAATCTTCTAGTTCTTTTTTTTGTGTGTTATCCTTTTCTGGCTTGGTATCAAGGTTGTATAACTTCATAGGATGAGGTGAAAAGCTTTCTGTCTTTTTTTCTGTGCTATACCGGGAAGTCATCTGTTATTTCAGAGTTTAGTTGAATTTGACCATGTAACATCTTTTGGGGTCTTGTGTGGTTTTTTATTGTTTACTTGTGTTTTGTTTGTTTTTTAGAATTAAGTTTTAGAATATATTTGTTTTGATTTCTGGAATGGTGGTTGTTACCTTTCTATCTTTTTTAAATCCCGTGTGCTGTTTCTAGCGACTCTCCTTTGCTTCTCTCTTCTGCTTCAGCCTCATGGTCAGATCAAATGTCCCCTGAGGCAGAGCATGGACTTGGTTTCCACATTGGTCAGGGAGCATGACCTTGGAAGTAGAAGTTGATGTTGTCTTTAACTTTGTATTTACGGCCGGGGAGTGGCTGAGGCAGGTCCTGTTGTAAACATCACATTGATGTTTCTTCCAAGCTTCTTTTCATTTTATTGATTTTGAAATTAGCGTTTTTCTGGGACTTCTGAAATGAAGAACTGTTTCTATTTTTGCAGTGGCACTTCCTTTTCACTGATGGTAGCTGTAGCATTTCTGTCTGGCTCCTAATCCCGTCTACTTTTTTCTGTCCAACGAGTTCCCCAATTTTTGTTAATGGTACTTTTTATTACATTACAGTGGACTTAGAATTTTTAAGTTGTCTTTTGTGTTGAGTTACTGAGATTTTGAAGGGCAGATAGAAACTAAGTGTTTTGATCTAATCTACTCATTTAATATATTAAACCAGGGCAGGCAAACTTTTTCTTAGGCTTTGTATTGTCTCTTTTGTAGCTACTCAACTTTTTTTTTTAAAGACTATTTTCCTAGAGCACTTTTAGGTTCACATCCGAATTGAGGGGAAGGTATAGAGATTTCTTTTATACTCCCTGTCACCACATATGCACAGCCTCCTTTGTTATCAACATCTGCCACTAGAGTGGGACATTTATTACAGCTGATGAACCTCCATTGATAAATCACAATTATCCAAAACTCATGGTTTACATTAGGGTTCACTCTTGGTGTTGTACATTCTGTGGATTTGGATAAATATATAATGACATGTGTCCATCATTATAGTGTCATAAAGAGTATTTTCGGTGCTCTAAAAATTATCTGTGCTCACCATGTTCTTCCTTCTCTCCTCTCTGACAGCCTGTTTTTACTGTCTCCCTAGTTTTCCATTTCCGGAATGTCGTATAGTTGGAATCATATAGTGTGTAGCCTTTTCAAATTGGCTTCTTTCACTTAGTAAGATACATGAAAGTTTTCTCCCTTTTTATGCCTTGATATCTTATGTGTTTCTAGTGTTGTTATGTGTTTCTGGTGCTGAATAATACTCCATTGTTTGGATGTGCCACAATTTATCCATTTACTCACTGAAGGACATCTTGATTGCTTCCAGGTTTTGACAGTTCTGAGTAAAGCTGCTAGAAACAACTCTATGTGTAGGGTTTTGTGTTGACACAGGTTTTCAGTGCTTTTGGGAAAGTACCAAGGAGCATAATTACTGGATCATCTGGCAGGAGTGTTTAGTTTTGTAAAAAAAACCTGCTTAACTCTCTTCCAAAGTAATGACTGTGCTGTTTTGCATTCCCACCGGCAATGAATGAGTTTCTGTAGCTCCACATCTTTGTCAGCATTTGATATCAGGTTCCAGATTTTAGCCATTCTAATAGGTGTGTGGTGGTATCTTGTTTTAATTTGTATTTCCGTGATGACATATGATGTAGAACATCTTTTCGTATGTTTATTTCCTATCTGTATACCCATGGTGAGTTTGGCCCAGTTTTTAATTGAGTAGTTTGTATTTCTTGTTGTTGAATTTAAGAGTTCTTTGTATATGTTAGATAACAGTTCTTTATCAAGTATCAGAAAATTCTGTAAATATATTCTCCCAGCTTGTAGCTTTCATTGTAATCCTCTCATTCTCTTGATGTTATCTTTTGTAATAAGGTTTTCACTTTAATAAAGTCCAGTTTATTATTTCTTTCATGGATTGTGCTTTGATGTTGTATATAAAAAGTTGTTGGTCGGGCGCCTGGGTGACTCAGTTGGTTAAGCAACTGCCTTCGGCTCAGGTCATGATCCTGGAGTCCCAGGATCAAGTCCTGCATTGGGCTCCCTGCTTGGCGAGGGGCCTGCTTCTCCCTCTAACCCTCCCCGCTCTCATGTGCTCTCTCTCTCTCTCTCATTCTCACTCTCTCAAAATAAATAAATAAATCTTTAAAAAAAAAAGTTGTTAGTCATCTAGGTTTTGTCTGTTATCTTCTAGGAGTTTTATGGTTTTGTGCTTTGCAGTTAGAACTGTGATCCATTTTGACTTAATTTTTGTGAAAGGCATAATTTTGTTTGTAGATTCCTGATTTTGCTTAAGAATGTTACTGTCTCAGTGCCATTTGTTGAAAAGACTATCTGTGCTCCATTGTATTGCCTTTTTCTCTTTGTCAGAGATCA